CTTTAATTTAAATGAGGGGCTACAAAAAGACACGCTTTCTACAATAAGCAAGAGGAATTGTACCTATTAATCAGCTCCGTTTTATAAGCAATTGACCTCTCAATGCCATGTAAGTGAGCAGAAGCACTATAATGGGAAAACGGGGGGGTAGTCTCTGCTGGTCTGTGCACCTGGCCGGTGACAATGGTGACGTGATACAGTCATTAGCCTTCTGACGCTGTTGAGAATGATTATCCAAGGTGAAAACCTGGTAAGGTGACAGGTACAGACAGGTCAGTGCAGGACTCCAACACAATGGGGTGGTTAATGCCATCAAAAGTAACGCTAAGATCTAAGGGTTTTGTTGTGTTTCCTACATCAGAGGATGACAATAAGTCATTCACAGCTCGGGTTCGAGCTGTTTCTATGCTGCGGTCAGAAGTGAAGCCAGACAGAATTTTTTTCAAGGGTCAGTTCAAAACATGATGATTTTTTTTCTTACAATAGTTTTAAAATGCCTGCACAGTTAGATATTGTGTATCAATTTTGATCTTTTAAAAGCAAGCAAAAGAATCACAGTGTTATCCTTCAATTAAGTCCATTCTATTTTATTTTAATTTGAATGGCTGATGCCTTTTGAAAAGCGCAGTGGAGTTTCAGCTGGTGGGGGCCCTGGACCTCGGCTTAAAAGCTTAGGGCTTTGAGCTGCATGGGGGCAGGCTGGCCTTGCACGTCAGTCACACTGCCCGCATGCCCGTGAGCAGTAAATACCTCACATGAATTAGCCGTGGAGTCACATCGGTCAGTCTATGAATAGCCAGAATTCCCAAAAGCAATTCAATTCACTACGGTTACAGTCTTCATTTTTTGTACATAGGAGTGATTAAAACAAAGGCAAAAATTAGCGTTTTGATGTTGACATAATCATTTAGTGGATCTGCACCCCCAGCTGTGTATGTTAGAAATTTAAGTCATCCTGAAATTAAAGACACAACTTTAATTACACAGAACCTTTCTGAAGGTCCCCTGAAATGCATGCACTATACAAAGTCCCCATTGCTCTTCAGAGACATCTGATCTCACCCTGTTTTCCAACTGGTGGGTGAGGACATGGCCACTTTCCCTCACGGTCAGTCAGATCAAATTACCTGTTCTCCTGGTATTAGGATAGATCAAATACTACTGAGTAAGGATACACCCTCATAAACCCTGTAACTCCGCTGGCATACAGGTATATGAAGTCACATTCTCCCTATTGGTGGGTCAGAACACACCCTCATAAGCCCTGTTTCCCTGTTGGTGGGTCAGGACACACCCAAATGCACCCTGTGACCCTGACGGTGAGTCTGCTAGAACATAGTCCGTCTCTCTTTGGTAGGTCAGCTCTTCCACCTTCCATTATTTCCGACCTTAATACCTCTTCTTCTTGATGGGTCATAATATACGTCCAGATCTCAGCCCCATCCCATGTTGCACCCCATTGTTTATTACATCTCGGGTTCACTCAAATTCCAGGAAAGTTAATCATCAACCAGTACCCACCTCAGTGACAGCCTGAGCCATACAGAATTCCCACAACCACCATGTCTGAGGCTGCACCTCAATTGCAAGGCCTGTGGGACTCCAGAGGCAGCTGACAGCTACCGGCAGGCCAAGCGGGGTGCGGCTTCGGCGGTCGCTGAGGCAAAAACTCGGGTGTGGGAGGAGTTTGGTGAGGCCATGGAAAACGACTTCCGGACGGCTTCAAGGAGATTCTGGTCCACCATCCGGTGGCTCCGGGTGGGAAAGAGGTGCGACATCAACACTGTTTATGGTGGGGATGGGGTGCTGCTGACCTCAACTTGGGACATTTTGGGTCGGTGGAGGGAGTACTTCAAAGACCACCTCAACCCCTCCGACACGCATTTCGACGTGGAGCAGAGTTTGGGGACTTGGGGGTGGACTCCCCTATCTCTGGGACGGAGGTCACTGAGGTGGTTAAAAGCTCCTCAGTGGCCGGGCCCCGGGGGTGGATGAGATCCGCCCGGAGTTCCTTAAGGCTCTGGATGCTGTGGGGCTGTCCTGGTTGACACGCATCTGCAGCATCGCGTGGACATCGGAGGCAGTGCCTCTGGACTGGCAGACCGGGGTGGTGATCCCCCTCTTTAAGAAGGGGGACCGGAGGGTGTGCTCCAACTATAGGGGGATCACACTCCTCAGCCTCCCTGGTAAGGTCTATTCGGGGGTTCTGGAGAGGAGGGTCTGTCGGATAGTCAAACCTCGGATTCAGGAGGAGAAGTGTGGTTTTTGCCCTGGCCGTGGAACAGTGGACCAGCTCTATACTCTCAGCAGGGTTTTGGAGGGTTCATGGGAGTTTGCCCAACCAGTCTACATGTGCTTTGTGGACTTGGAGAAGACATTCGACCACGTCCCTCGGGGAGTCCTGTGGGGGGTTCTCCAGGAGTATGGGGTGCCGGGCTTCCTTATAAGGGCTGTTCGGTCCCTATATGACCGGTGCCAGAGCCTGGTCCGCATGGGCGGCAATAATTTGGACTCGTTTCCGGTGAGGGTTGGACTCCGTCAGGGCTGCCCTTTGTCACCGATTCTGTTCATAGTTTTTATGGACAGAATATCTAGGCGCAGCCAGGGCGTTGAGGGTGTCCGGTTTGGTGACCTCAGGATTAGGTCTCTGTTTTTTGCAGATGATGTGGTTCTTTTGGCTTCATCAGACCGTGACCTTCGGTTCCCACTGGAGCAGTTCGCAGCCGAGTGTGAAGTGGCTGGGATGAGAATCAGCACCTCCAAATCCGAGACCATGGTCCTCAGCCCTGCCTCTCTGTCCCTGTTGTCTCTCTGTCCCTGTTGTCTCTCTGTCCCTGTTGTTTCTGTCTCTCTGTCCCTGTTGTTTCCCTGTCCATTGTTTCTCTCTCTCTCTCTGGTTTTTCCATATGCTGTCTGAGTCTAATGAGAGTTTGTCAGCATATTATTTTCCACGCTCCACAATGCTGCAGAAAAAATTCCTACAAGGAAAAAAACAATCGAAAATAGTGAGCCCTTAAACAAATAGCTTCTCTTTTGTTAAATGTTCCTGTAGGGTTTGTGACATATGTCATGATTCACAGACCGTGAGCCATGCTGCACAGTGAAGCGTCGTGTTCTTTTGTGTCCCCATGTGGTGCCCATGGAGATCATGGAACAAGCGTGAGGCGGGGAGGGACGGGGCCCCTCCCTCTCCGGTGGACATAACCCCTCCCCCCCGCCCCGGTCAGCAGGCAGTGCAGATAATCTGGCTCACGGTCTGCCTGCAATCTGACTCAGCTTTTGTAACATATCACGAAGCAGCTAATTTCAGCCGGCTCCCTTGCTATCTCCTTTTTCTGCTCTCCCTCTCTCGTTCCATCTTCCTTCCCGCCACTCACTCACTCTCTCGCTTGCTCTCTCCTCTACCTTGCTCTTACACATCAGTGAAATCACACATAAACCAGGGAGCTGTCCAGCCAGCAGGAGAAGCATGGTGGTAAAATTAGAGGCTCCTGAGAGGAAGGCGATGGTGGTTGGGGCTCCGCCCCCTGACCTGTAGCCCCGCCCCCTGGCGTTCTGCTCCGCCCCCTGACCTGTAGCCCCGCCCCCTGACTTGCAGTTCCGCTGTCTGCACATTTATCAGTCCCTGATATATAGCTAAACTCAAGGTCCATGTCACATGTCACCAACTGTTGTCCCGCTCTCTGCCTGGAGTTCTCAATCCAGCCCCCTCCCCCTACACCTGTGTCTCCCCCGAGTGAGGCATTCTTTCCAATATACAAATGCCTGGTGGTTCCGTGGGGGGTTTCACCAGCTGACCTATTGGCTTTTTTATATATAGACCCTGCAGAGACCACAGGTCTGGCTGGCAATCCTCCCTCCTCTCTGTTCTTGCAAAACTCCCCCCACCCCACAAACACTGCCCCCGTTTAGAGCCTGAATGATGCCTCTGCAGAGAATGTGACATTATCCCTGCCTCTCTAGCTAAGATGTCTTTCAGTCAGTACATTCCCTTCCTAAGAACAGGCACAGCAGAAGGTGACTGATATGCAATAATTTTATTTTTTTTTAGTGTGTGTGTGGTCAATATTCTGGAATATTCAAGGTCAATATTCTATCAGTGTTCCAAAGACTTAAACGTCCACATGACCAGAGGGTCAAGTTACACTCCTTTCATGTGAATGATTGAACTTTTAATCGTCATATTGGCCTAAAGGATAATAGGCAATCAAATCAATATGTTACTGATCCATCAAAATATTATGTTCGTTAAGGTTAGGGGTTATGTAGCCTGTCCCTCGGATTTATTCGGGGGCGGGGGGGGGGTGCGTTAAAAACTTTATTTATGGAAGGCAGAATGTTTGAACAGACTTGTGAAATATGACGGCGATGAGTAAGCATTTGTCATGTTTACAGTCCCTAAGGCATGCCTCAGTAGATGAATTTCTTACACAACATTGCCATTTCATAACGTGTTGTCATCCAGCTTAAAGCATGCAGGCCGCACAAGCTCCCTAGGAGTCAAGCAGACCAGTGAGGATTTTCGTTTGCAGCCTGACCCCAAATCCTGTCCGAAACCCCCTGGTCGGCAGCCAACACCCCCCAACCCCCACCCCCCCTCCATGTGATGACGGCAGAGATTACATGCCGCTTAAGCGAGCCGGAGGAGCAGAGTTCAGCATGACTCTGCAGAGTTCAGGATGACTCTGCCCCAGTAGGGAATCTCCTGAAGGCTTGTTTACATACAGCTGAAAATGTCATCTGACAGGCTGGAGTCCTGGTCTTGCTTCTGCTTTACCTTCCTGATCTCTCCCTGCATCTAGGGGGCCCCAGAGTTCCAATCCCCCCCCCCCCCCCCCCCAGACTACATACGTGGCAAGTGTGAAAAATGAGGCGGACGTGGTTTTCTTTGATCTGAATAAGCACCATGGGGGTAGGCATTATCTCAGCGAGAAAGATCTTCAAAGATCATCCATGATTCAGCAGTGATTCAGACAGATATTTTCTCCCCTTGTCTCCAGGCCATTTCCGATGCTCCGGGTTGTCGGCTGTTCCCGTCCTGGGAGAAATCCTCAGCTGTGTCGCTATGGAAACCTCCGTCTGCACCGACGGGGGCCGCCACGCCGTCTGGGTGACTCAAGCTATTTGCCTTCTGTAATTACGGCTCTGTTACGGGCTAACGAGGTGCATTTCACACCGTGCAGGATTTCCACATGGAGATGTGTGGAAGGGGACTTAGCCCTGTTGTGCTCGCGCCGTGTTGCAAAATGGTAAATTACTTGTGACTGACTCCTGAGTGACTCTCGCCCAGACCTCTGTCCAGGAGACCACCGCGAGCAAATGCTCCTTGTGAAGAGCGGCTGGGAGAATGTCTGTGTGTTTCATTGGGGGTCATGGCAGTGGAGTCAGCACTGCGCCCCCTGCAGGTGTAACCATGCAGCTGCGAGCAGTCGGAGCGGCAGCACAGTCAGTGGCTCGGTCTTCCTTACGAACGCGCTCCGTAACGACCACAGCGAGAAGGCGCGATATAAGCTAGTCGGCTAAAGTGAACCATCAGAAAAATTTGAGGGACTGAAACTGAAACCGCAAATACCTAGGAAAAAATTCAAAAATATCTGTTTTTCATATTTGCATTTCCACATCAATAATTCTATAATCAATAGTCTGCTAAATCACTGCAGTGCATATATGTGATTATTTTTTTATGTTTGTGATGTCATTGAAAAATGTTACGATGAGCGGAATATAAAGAACACATCCGGACACATTCCATGTGTCCGAAATGGAATCCCATTGGATTAATGGCAACTTTAAAATTTCCACAAAACGCAAGGAACATAAATGGAAAACATCAGTTATTGTTTCCTGACTTGCAGCTTAGATGGGATGTGTTTGTCCTGCAGGTATGTTTTTATTTTATTGTAGCACTCGTGTCCCCTGTGCTGCTGCTATATATAGCCAGGTCTATTTTTACACCGCGGCTGTGAAAAGAAGCTGCTGGTGTTACTGCCAGCCTGGCTACTTCGTGGCAGCACGGTTTGTGTCTGGAACAGCGTTGGCCTCATTGCGAGGAAAGAGCGGGAGACATTCCAAGAAGGCACTAGGAACCAGTGCCAGATTACCGGCCCCATTTCCGCAGGTTCCACACCAGCAGCGACACGATGGAGCCAGGCAGCTGTCATGACCCAGAGCCGGAAACGGACGAGGCTAACGGCCGTTCACCACAGGACGCCCGGGAGGCCGAGCTGAAGGTACGGGTGAACGGGAGTGTTTTCGTCGTTGCGAAAGCGATCCTGACCGAGCGTTGCGAGTACTTCCGAGCGCTATTCCAGTCAGGAATGAGGGAATGTCTGCAAGAGGAGATTCACGTCCGGGGGCTCAGCCCCGGGGGCTTCTCCGTCATGCTGGACGTCCTGGGAGGAGATCGGCCCATCTTGGGTGCCGACAGGTTGGTCCAAGCCATCGAATGCGCTGCATTCCTGCAGGTGGAGATGCTCACCAGACACCTCATCAACATCCTGAATTCGGACAACTGTCTGCTGGTGTACCACGCCGCCGCGGAGTACGGCTTGCTAGAGCTCTTCCATAGCGCTGCGCTGTTCATCCGAGACATGTACCAGGACCTGGAGGAGGACACTAGGTGTCTTCCAGCGGAGCTCCTCGAGTATGTAGAGTCTCTCTCTCCCCAGGTGTTTGTCGCCGTGGGAACGCACTCCAGCTCCAACTTCCAGGAGTTGCCGCACGCTGCCACCAGGACCATCTGCTATTTGGACGAGGACGAGAAGGACTGGAAAGTCCTCACGCGGCTACCCAACGAGGCCAGCACCTCCATGGCAGGAGTGGCAGTGCTTAATAACAAGCTATACATCGTCGGCGGTGTCCACAGCGTCCACAAGCAGGTCGTGGACTCCTGCTTCTGCTACGACCCCATGGCAGATGCGTGGAGCGCGCTAGCTGGGCCTCGGCAGCCGAGATACAACTTCACGCTGGTGGGACAAGAGGATCGCCTCTACGCCATCGGTGGAGAGTATGAGAGGATGGTGATGTCATCGGTGGAGAAGTTCAACGTCTCCACTGGCTCATGGTCTTTCATTACGCACCTGCCCCGACCCGCGGCCGGCATGGCCTGCACCAAGACCATGAACAGGATATTTGTGTGCCTGTGGAAGCCCATGGAGACGACAGAGATCTATGAGTACCTCCTCAGCAGGGATGTGTGGAATCTGACCACGACACTCATTCGAAACCAGAGCTATGGGCACTGCATGGTAGCACACAGGGACAACCTCTATGTCATGCGCAACGGGCCCTCAGACGACTTCCTGCGGTGCGTGATGGACTGCTATAACCTCACCTCGGGCCAGTGGACAGCCCTGCCCGGCCTCTACGCCAACAGCAAGGGTGCTCTGTTCACGGCTGTGGTGCGAGGGGACTCGGTCTTCACAGTGAACCGAGCTCTCACGTTGGAGTACTCCATCGAGGGCAGCAAGTGGAAGCCAAAACGGGAAATAAAGGGTTTTCCGCGCAGCGGCTCCATGTGGACCTTCCTACTAAGACTTCCAAAGACTTCGCAGAACGTCTCCACCCTGGATGACCTCGATGAAAGGACGTCGTGACTGGGCAGGACTCCCTGGGCTCATCGGTGCCATGACGATGAGCAGGGGGAAGGTGATTGGCTATCAGACATGCATGAGCACATGTCACTGAATATTCACATGGAATTGGTCACACCATAGAAACTCAGTGAGTCCCCCAAGAGCTCTCAGGTTTCACTGCCACATTGAAAAGGTCATGACATCTTATCAGGTCTTAGTTCTCCAAAAATCAATGGCTTCTCGATGACAGGCCCAATACGTCATAAAATAAAGGAATTAACATTCTAACAAATTTCTAAAGGTTTTAGTCTTTTGTTTATAACTCTGTACCCCGTTGTACCTTCAGCTTTCATTTTTGAAAGTGGAATTGATTTCTTCCGGTTTTCTCCAGCCAAGCATGGAAACAGGAGTGCATTTCAGAGACAGACGATCACAGGAATATCAGTCTCTCCTAACCACAGCATGAGTAATGTTCATGTTTTGTTCTGCTGTAGTGTCGTAGCAAACAGGATGTTTTTGTTTTCCAGCCTTGCGTACATTGTGCAGATAATTACTTACATGTCTAATCAACTACTTGGAAGGCAGGGCGTTCTTTTTACTGTAAAGAACAAAAATTTACTTGCCAAATATATCTGCTTTCATCGAGACAGCGATGTAAACATCTTTAATGAGTTATGGTATAAGAAGTCTGCAACACCTGTAAACCTCGACACGCCCTAAAAATTAGATGATGTAATCCTTCAGACACGCGGTGCCGGAATAGAAAAACATTCTGTGCCGTTTGCCCTTGCACTCCTCTTTGCCAGCTTTACTTCGTCGTCATCAGCACCAGCGGATCTCACCGACGGAGAGCAGGCATGAGCGCTGGTTAATCCGCAATCCCAGAATCCCCCACTGCTCGGCAGCAAGCCCTGGGACGGCGGCTGCGCTCCTGCAGGAGACAATGTGTATCTTCACCGTCCTCAGCTGCGGTTGGCCACCACTTCCTCTTGGCAGGGCACGAGCTAGCGATAGGTCGCTACGGCGATGCCAGGAAGAGTGTGATGCAGCGGGTTGCCTGTGCACATGCCAGCCACACGGCAAACTATATTCTTTCTGGACAAAAATAAAAACTCAATGAATGGAGTCATCAGGGGACACGCGACCCCCCCACATGACACCATCAAATTAAATTGGGTCACATGGTCAGCTGGGTCATGATGCACCAATGAGAGAGCAGAGGCTTCCAAGCACCGTGGTGGGTGGGATTGGGAGCGTACCATCAGTCACATGGTGGGTCCCTGGTAAAAAAAACGACTTAAACTAGCTACTGAAACCTGCTGTGTCTTTCCATGACCCCCTGGTCAGTATCAGCAGCAGGCTGTGGATGCCAAGAAGTGCCACTCTTATCTAGTAAAATATGTAGCAATTATTATAACAACGTTGTTCTAATGCTATTTCACATTACAGATGTTATAGTGTAAAGTATTTCAGGTTTCGGCGGGTATCAGTTCACTGATGTCTGAGCGTTTGACTACGTGTGGGAAATGTGTCACGTGACTGGTGGGGAGCGTGTCATATGACAAGTGGGGAACGTGTCACATGACAGACGGAGAACGTGTCACATGACAGACATGCGCTCACAAAAATAAATAAAAAAAAGATGAAAGTCGTAAGGATGTTTTGCCACTTTCACCGTCATCACAGCAGGTGCGGTTGGGTTCATTCTTGGCTGTTCTTGGTTCGCAGGAGTCTAGGGCACAGTTCTGAGGCACGGATTTCAGCGAGGAAGTGCTTTATGGACCGGCATGTTCCGTGCAATGGGATGAAAATATGACAGTCTGGGGGGGGGGTATGCTTTGCTCTCCCAGCACGTGTCTCTCTCCAGCCCCAGAACCCAGTATTTGCTGCTCAACTCAGTGAATCAGAGCAGGGAGCCATGACAGTGTTTCTGCTACGAGACACACTCAGCTTCGCCGAACCAGTCTAATTATACCAAATGTGAGCCATAATTATCCTCTACGGTCAGGCCTCTACACTGAGTCCGACAGGAAGAGCTATTTTTTACCCGGTGAGAACAAAAACAGCAGGATGCAAGATTCCCTGTCGGAACGTCCCACTGTGAGGAAGGAGCGAGCTGATGTAGTGGCTCCTCAGAAAAACAACCGGATGAGGGGCAAACAGACCAGAGGAGAGGTTCTCTGACCAGGGCCCACGGGTCACCCCACTCAAAACAACAGCACAGGTATCATGAACGGGACAGCGGCCTTGCCAAAGGTTAGCATATAGCCATTACCACATCGCCCTGCTTGGGTTACGTACAAGACGACACTGTGACGTTTGGCAGCTTCTCTCCCAGTCAGAATGGCGAACACGCATGAACATTGACCCTTGTCATCCCCTTTGACCCAGTAGGTTCCCCCTCTGGTTTCTCTTTGGTCCTTTCTAAGAGAAATCAGAACCCATGATGCACACCCCCCACATCTTATTTCCACAGGGCTTTATCTTTCAGATAATACTCACAGATAATACTCACAGATAATATTCATAAATACTCACAGATGAGGCATGTAGATTAACTGTAAAATTTTCATTTTCATAATTTACCTTTTCCTAGTACATGTGTGATATGGATAAAAACAATGGATTGTGCTTTGCTTTAATAGTAAATGTTTGTATGAATAACGAGCATTCCAGACTCTGCTAGCTAACACGTCCACGGCTGTCTCCCTTGTTGTTGTGTAAGTAGTCACATGTTTATGGAGAGAAGCTTTTAATGTCCTTTGGGGCTGCGGAGGTTACGGAAAAGGCCTGGACGAGATGTGGAGACCGTCCAGCCGTCATCTATACCCGCTTGTCATGTGGGTCTGGAGCATATCCCAGCAGCTACGGGCACACGGCAGGGAATAACCCAGGACGGGGCGCCAACCCATCACAGGGCACACTCACCATTCACACACACAGGCAATTTGGCAACTGCAATTTACCTCGGCATGTTTCTGGATAGTGGACAAACCCCGCAACGACGATACAGGATGGAGCCAGGGTGGAGATTCGAACCCTAGTCTCCAAGTATGAGACTGTGGCACCCTCAGCTGGGGGTCTGGATAAAGGTAACGGTCACTCTGGTTACCAGTGCCGGTGTTTGAAGGTAACACACAGATTCTTATGCTTAGTGAGTGAATAGGTCCCCTGCCTTTTGTCCTGTGCTTCCTGGGAGGCTGAGTGGGCTCTGCAGCGCCTCATAGTGGATAAACACTTATAGATGGACGGGTGCATAGTAGCAGCTGCTCTGTAGGTTCAGGACAGCGACAGTTAACTGACAGTAAGGAACCAGCACATTTTATCTTATTCTATTTGATTTATTTCACCTGGATGAGGTATCATCACAGCGGAAGGTCCGGGACAGCATGGCCGTCTTTCATTAGTGTGACTAATCTCTCCTGATATTTAAACAGCTGCCAGCTTTGTACTCAAAACAAATGCACTGAATTCATTTCCTGAGAGGAAAAAACATCCCCCCCCCCCTCCCACTTGGAAAGAAAATGATGTCGTGTCATTTAGGAGGAGAGAGCGGCGATGCAGTGAGTAATCCGTGCTGTTAGTCACCTCCCGCGAACGCAGCCGGGCGGAAACATCTCCAAGGCGAGGCTGCCGTCTGCGGTGAACACTGGGAGTGCCGTGGAATGAGAGCCCCCCCCCCCCCACACACACACACACACACACACATACACATATACACACACGCACAATTACCCAAATATGGGCTTCCTACTCATGGAGGGGGGTTTCTCAGTGCCGGAAAATCCACATGACCAGAGTACAGCTGTAGAAGACGACAAAAATAAACAGCAGGGGAGGAGGTCAAAAAGAGGAAGGGGGGGGGGTTTGCTTTGGATGAGGGGGAGGGGGTGTACACGCAGGGCTGTGGAGGGAATTAGGGGGCAGTCACATGACAGGAAGCCCTGGAGAAGTGCTCTTTGTTGTGAGACCTGATTGTTTTTTGGGTTCACTGGGTGCAGAGCAGCCTGTGTTTTTAAGAACAATGGGTGCCGATTACTATTACACAAGAGGGGAAAACAGCAGCCACACTGCCACGCCACCAAAAACATGTTTGCCTCCTGTTATGTCAGATATCGGCGAGCTCTGAATCCGGTGAACGCCGGTGTTGGCGGTGACAAGGCTTGGCGGGAATGAATGCCGCAAGTTTCCAGCCAATGGGCACCCAGCAAATCGGATAAGCAGTGATGTCATCCCAAAAAAACAACAGCAGCCTGGGGGAGGATGGTAAAAACAATGACCCCCAGATGACCTCCGCCTGACCAACCTAACAGTCAAACGCACAAAACATGAGTGATATGTAGGCGATCAGGGGCAAATGGCAGTATTGATCAGATGAAGGGGGCAGGTGTTGCTAGTTAGGGTTAGAATACTAGTTTAGGGTATCGGTTGCTGGTTTAATTAGCTGTCAGGCTGATAAACTTTTGCATGGAACAGTGCAGCAATAAATGTTAAAAGCAGCAGTTGAACAGTAAAATTATCTGTAAAATTCAGCATTTTGACTGTTCAAAATTCCTTTCTGCATCTCACTAAAATGTCTGCACTGTATATCGCTGCGGGCTGGACAGGAAGCACAACCCACTGACGGCCCCCCGTGTTACGATATGCCCAAAACTGCACCACCAAGCTCTCGTTAGACTTAACGTCTTCCCTGGATATCTGTGACGACACGTCGAGTCGGCGAAATTATGCCGATTAAACGATCCTCTCATAATTACTCACATCCTGGGGTTGAAGACTCTCTGGTGCCAAAATAAATGCACTGACCCCAAGGCACTGGCGTCTTGTAATCTGAGTCAGAACCAGGTTACCTGCTGAACATCACAACAGGATTATGAAATTCTGTGGCTGCAGGAATGTGCAGTAATTTAGCGCTGAAAAATGACAGGGTGTTTCCTTGCGCTGGATGTTTTGTATGATTTGTACGTCCTCGCGGTGACCCCTCGGTCACACACTTTGTAAGATGAGCAGGACAAACAGGTTCCCCCCTCTGAGCTTCCATTGGCACTGCTCTGTGGAGGCGCCAACAACTGTGCTTAAATTGAAAGAACTGAGTAAATGATATACTACCCTGGAAACGAAACCAAACCAATGTTCCACCGTTTTGGATGATCATGAATCATCCATCGCTTCTGCAGCGGGACGAGCTTGTGACCTCGCACCCGGGTTCACAAGTAAGTGTGGAGATGTATGGATTTTACATTATCGCAGTGCTTCCCCTCCACGGCCAATGAACGCGGAGCTCAAATGAAG